CTAATTCTCATAAACTTGTAAATATGTTGCACATGACTAAACCCTCCCAGGCTCAAAATCTACTCATCCTACTATGTAAATGTTTTATAACCCATTTACATCCAGTGTGAACACAGGAAAGACATATTACTTACAGAAGTGCTCACCATGAAAACAAAGAAGTCCCACAAGGGAACATACTTCTTTCTTTGTTTTTCCTTTTAAAATTGTGTTTCATTTTTAAATAAATACACTATCATTTGTCTTTTCTCTTCGGCCTATCTAACTGCTGTTGAATTTAGCTTTGGCTGAATACAGAGAATGGTCATAATATTCTCTTATATTTTATATCAGAAAAATAAAACTATTAACATTAACTATATTGTGGTTAAAATGTTTAGTTTAAAATATTAATTAATGAAGATAAGACTCATAAACACTAATTGCATTTCTTGGGAGGCCCTGAAAACAGTAATGGCTCCTCTGCTCTTCAAACACTTGGAAGATATCAAAAGGGAAATTTACCTTGAAAAAGTACCCAAATCCCTGTAAATTTTTAATTTAAGAATCCAGAATAAACATTTATTTTTGCAACAAATATTTTTAAAGTAATAAATGTAGAATTTATATAATTTTAAGAAGTATAAATTGTTTAGAAGTTAAGACTTCTATTCAGGTTGGAGATTACTGCCTCGGCTGCTGTGAACCAAAATTTTCTATTGCAACTATTCATACAATTGGGTACATTTATGTTGAATCAAAAAGAAAGTGGGTCAGATTTGATAAGGTTTTAAAACATCTCTTTTAACCCAAAGTCTAAAAACATTTAATAATTTCTATTTGTCCTTTCTGTTGTCATCTTATTGCTTTTTACAATAATTTCTTAGGTTCTGTCTCTACATGGCCTTGTGCTTGTGACCTCAATGCCAGGCAAAAGAGCAGCTTCTCTGATGGATGTCAGCTGTTAGTTCATCCTGTTTTTATTAAAAAAAAAAAAAAAAAAAAAACCCAAACCAAAACTTCAGCCTATTTTTTTCCTTCCTCCTTCCTTCCTTCCTTCCGTCCTTCCTCCCTCCCTCCCTCCCTCCCTCCCTCCCACCCTCCTTCCTTCCCTCCCTCCCTCTTTTCTTCCTTCCTTTCTCTTTTTCTTTCTTTCTCTTTTTCACTGAGTCTCACTCTGTCGCCCAGGCTGGAGTGCAGTGGCGCAATCTCGTTTCATTGCAACCTCTGCCTTTCCGGTTCAACTGATTTGCTTGCCTTAAACTCCTGAGTAGTTAAGATTATAGGCATGTGCCACCATGCTCAGCTAATTTTTGTATTTTTAGTAGAGCTGGGGTTTCACCATGTTGGTCAGGCTGGTCTTGAACTCCTGACCTCATCATCTGCCAGCTTCAGGCTCCCAAAGTGCTGAGATTACAAGCATGAGCCACTGTGCCTGGCTCTTACCTATTTTTCTAAACCATGCATTTCCTAAGAGAAGCCATTGGAATGAGAGGCAAAATAGGAGTAGAGAGTAAAGGAGGAAGGAAGAGAAGGGCTAGCCATAGTGTCATTATTAAAATATCCTTTGTGATGATGTCTGCACTATCAACAGGGCTGAAGTCTGGTTTATTTCCCAGCTAGTACATTTGCATCAGTTGTCCAAGACACCAATGAAACTTGTTTCTGTTGCCTCCTATCCAGTAGCAGACAGCACATTTGTCAACCTATTGTATATTTTTTAATCCTTGCTATTTGAGTAACTGTAAACCTAGGTTAATGCTGGCTTGTGATTTCTATTATATCATATTGAATAATTAAATCTATCTCTTTATGTACCATTTGAAGGCAGGGTGAAAATATTGTTTGAAGGTAGCGTGAACTAAAATTAGAGCGATGTGGTTTGCTTTAGTTCCTAGACTAGGAGATTCATTTGATGCTAATCTAAAAAAAAGAGAACTCTACATATATATATATATATATATATGTGTGTATATATATATATATATATATATGTGTGTGTGTGTATGTGTGTGTATATTTGTGTGTGTATGTACCTAAAATGTGTGTGTGTATATATATATATGTAAATGCGGATATGTCTGTGTGTGTGTGTGTATATATTTACACCGCACGTCTCTCAAGATAACTCTAGCCTCTCTCAGGATATGTATTTTTTCCTTTCCAATTAAAAATAAACACAACAAAAGGAAGTAGGATAAACTTACTCCTTAGTAGGCTTACAACTAAGAGGTTGAAGGAGGCAAGGTCAGAAGAGCCTTGGGTGCTATTTTGGAAGAAAGGGAAACAGGGCCTACTTAACCACCCTTCCATGACCTGTGGTTTGAGAAACACAGCTCTGAACAGTTCCCACACAACAGCTGTTTTTCCGCATCACCATCAGACAGGAAATGGAATGGCACATAGAATGCAATTTATACGATCTGTTCTCTCAGAAAGTGAAACAGGATCTCCAGGCTATTAAATTCACTTTGATGCGGGATCTGAACTCACTTGTAAAACAGAATTTTCTGCCTAGTAAAAGAAAGCTTCCATTTGTGAAAAACTAAAAAGTTTTCAGAAGTATTTTGCAAATAGTTAAGCAGTCACTGGGTTTAAACAAAAGTTATTTTGAAAATTAGAGACATTTTGATCTATTTAATTCTCATAACAAGACAGTAAAGTGATCTAAAAATCCCCACCAAAACCTACAACCATATAAAGGCCAAAGGCTCTATTCCCTATAGGACCATGGAAGAAACAGTATCAGAGATTCCAGCCACATTTAAAATAGGAGTCAAAATCTATCTAAGATGCTCTGCAGACCTGGCTCTATTAACTGCATCTAATTCTGGGGCTAAACTAATACTGAAAGGTAAAGATGAGAAAATAGGTAATTTCCATATTAATAAACAGGTATTTTTCTAATTTGGATGTTCCACCAAACTGACTATTCAATTAAAATTTTATTGCCAAAACTCTTTGCTCTGCCAGTGTGATTTGATTTTGAGGCTCCTGCAAAATACATGTGCAATTATTTCCCTGGCATTCCAGTAGCTATCTGCTGGTTTCCCAAAGGATCCCCAGCACAGGAGTCTGCTGACTGAAGAGCTACCTCTCTCAGAGTGAGAAGCTTAATGTCATTTGTGTCCCATGCATAATGTCTTTGATTGAAATAAAAATTTAAGCTTCCATTCTTTGCTTGGCAATGCTTGTTTAAAAAGTGTCTAAGAAGAGGATATTCAAGAATGATCAAAAGAACCATCTGTAGTCCAAACCAGTAGCTTCTTTGCATTCTTGGAATCAATCTGAAGAATCTCCCAAATCTGCTAGCTCTCTTCTTACTTCAGTAAATTTATGAAAGAGAAAGAGATACCCTTAGGGTCTCTGACTGTACAGTTTGCTTGTCTCCTTTGCCATTGGCTTGCCCTCAGCCACTTTGTGTTTCTTGAACGGTTCTATAAGGATGGGTATATTCTCCAAATGGCCACTGGAGGGCACAAAAGTACAATGTTTGTCTGCAGGTTAGGCCTTTGTGGTTTCGTTGTTCTGAAAACAATCTATGCTTCGTAAGATACTCAACTAGACATGACATTTTCACTTTTAGAACATAACTATCAAATATCTACGTTGTCATCTACCTTTTGTCAGTGATATTCTGAGTCAGATCAAAACCAAAAGTTATGTTTCTAACATTACTGTTATAAAAATGTATATTAATATCTTTTCATTCCTTTCATCTATCTTTCATATTTTAAGGTTATCCATCCAAATTCATGATTTAAAATTTCACAAAGATATTATTTCACTTTGAAACATGTATGAATGTATGAATACCACAAATGTGTATTCAGACATCTTCCCATGGGGAAAAGGGAAAATGTTGAGGTGATATTGAGAAGTACACTGACCTGAGATGCACAAAAGAAAACAGCTTTATTTTCTTGCTGCTTTAGCTTTCTAAATGCCTGTGTATCTCGCTTTATAGCATAAAATGCTTATACCAAGTCAGCTTCAAAATAGGCTTTTTTTTCTTTCTTTTTTGAGATGGAGATTTGCTCGTCACCCAGGCTGGAGTGCAATGGCACGTTCTTGGCTCACTGCAACCTCCACCTCCCAGGTTCAAGAATTCTCCTGCCTCAGCCTCCTGAGTAGTGGGGATTACAGATGCCCACCACCATGCCCAGCTAATATTGGTACTTTTAGTAGAAATGGGGTTTCACCATGTTGGCCAGGCTGGTCTCAAACTCCTGACCTCAGGTGATCTGCCTGCCTCGGCCTCCCAAAGTGTTGGGGATTATTGGTGTGAGCCACCACACCTGGCCCAAAATAGACTTTTAGTTAGAATAACACATCTCTCCAAAATGGCATCTTCATGCTGGCATTTTTTTTTTTTTTTGCAAAAACTTTTATCGCTGTCTTAAAAAAATCATGTGGGCCGGGCGCGGTGGCTCACACCTGTAATCCCAGCACTTTGGGAGGCCGAGGCGGGTGGATCATGAGGTCAAGAGATCAAGACCACCGCCGAGATCACGCCATTGCACTCCAGCCTGGGTAACAAGAGCAAAACTCCGTCTCCAAAAAAAAAAAAAAAAAATCATGTGAATTATGGCAAAAACTCTTAAAATGTATATTAAAGTTATATAACAAATAACCATGACAATATTCAAAATGACCTACAAATTATAAAAACTGGCTTACTGCTTTCACAGCAGAAACTGTTTCCCTAGTGAAAGGCCTCTCGATTGGTTGCCTGCTCCATATCGTCTTCCAATTGTCCCTAGATTTAACATTCCAAAGCACATAGTCATGTTTGCTGGGTTTTTCCCATTACATTTGCATCAAGTTGTAATTCCTTTGTGGACATTAATGGAACTTTGCTGTGTAATCTTTATTACACAGCCACTCCATTCAAATGCCATACTCTAGTCTCATAGGGCTATTAAAGAATCCTTAAATGTTCTGTTTGTGAAGCTATAGCTATTATTTCTTTAGGAAATAAAAATAATTTCCAAGAGTAATTGTACTTACTGCATGCTAGCTACTACATAAAGTACTATACATACATACTCTCATTTAATTTTGCTCCAAAGTCTGAGGTGTTTATGTACGACTTCCACCTTATAGGCAAGGAAACTGAATGTTAGTGAGGCAGTGATTCCTTAGATGTCACTGTATGTGTGATGTCAAAGTTTATGCATCTAAAAATGACACTGGCATACTGTTCTCTGTTTGCAAACTTTCATGCTGTTGTGGATTTTGTGCTAAAGGAGAACAGTGAGAGATATGCCCCCAAGGTATATCCTGGACGGTAACCTTAAATCTTAATACTTTCTCTCCTTTCTCTTCTTCCAAGCAGAATCCTTACTTCCTCTATGCTACTGTTGCACTTTTGGGTGTCAGCATGTTGGATGCTTATGTACTAACAATCCACTGTAGAATGGGGGATCCTAGAGTTTGGGCAGGGTGTATTATTCATCTCAGTGTATGAATAACCCAGGAGAATGGCTGGCATATATTGGATGGGATCTGTAAATTAGGACTCTCTCCTTTGCCAATCAGACTTGGAAAAAGTAGGCTTATTCCACATCTTAGATGCTCATCAAATTTTGAAACATATACAAAACATATACATTTTATTTTCTAAAAAGATATTTCTTATAAATGTATTAAATATATGGTTGGTTTTCCTTTTAAAATTTCTGGACAGTTTTATTTGTAAATATCAGGAATGTGTTATACATGTTATGTTAGTATTATTTATAAGTTATTTATAATGGAGGCACTTAACATTTCCACAGAGGTAGAATATAATGGAAACTTCAAAAGACAACTACCTAAAGGATTTGTATCTGCTCTGTAGATGATGTGCTCTTCCACAGTGGCCGCTGCCTCTCTTCCAGTCTCTCACTGCTGAGTCAGTGTCCAGCTCCACCTCGTAGCAACTATTCCATTCCCGGAAGCAAGATGGCTCTACTCAGCTACTTAGTTGAACCCAGCTGCCTGTTCCCAATCCCCACAAGTCCATTGAGAAAAGTGGCTCTTTTTTCCCTAGTAAGCGACAAAGCACATCCTATGTCCATGTCTGAACTGGCTCCAGCTAGGATTTCATAAATGCATTGCTGCTGTGTTAAAATAGACTCTTCCTTATGTTGGTCATCAAGAGTTTTCCCTCGAGCTTCACTAAAAAGCAGCTAAGATTTGCACCGATTCTGCATGTTAGGACATAGTGTCATAACTAAGGGATGAAGTTTTCATGACAAGCCTTAAATAAACTCCTAACAAATTTTTTACCAAATAGTATCAGGTGAGATGTTTCCTGATTTTCTTCACATTTGAAAATATTTGTTGCCAACTCAGTTTGCAAAGCTATTAAAAGTCAACTGAGATTCTTGAGGGCCAGGCCTAAACTTCTATTTCTTTGTGTCATAACATAGTGATTGACTTTTGTTCAGAGCTGAATTACTATTTCTCTACTTGAAAGTTCATTTGCTTTAAGTGCAAAAGTCAATTTCTTAGTGTGTAAACATATATGTACACAGTGGTCATCAGGACCACTGATATAAAGCACTTTGTTGCTTAAGTTTCCCATGTATATCTAACTTGCTTTTATTATGACAAAGTCACTCTATGTTGAAATTCCAGTTCAATTTTCTTTTAGTGTTTTCCATGAAGGTAAATTTGACTGTTTAATAGGAAAAAGCTACAATCCCTTTGAGTAAAACAATATCGAACAGAAATCAAACTGAAATTTGGTTTTATTCCATAATCCAGTTAAAGCATGCATGATAAAAATAAATAAATAAATAAAGCCAAAACATAGATTGAGGTTACTGAAAAGATTTCTGTTGTGGAGAAAGTGATCTGTGGGTTTCATGCAATCAGAAAGATAATTCTGCCTTGTAACTTGTATTTCTCTTTCTCTCCGTCTCTTTCTCTCCCCTACCCCATTCTTCTCTCCCCACCAATCATGCAGATGAGAAGATACAAAAGCTAGAGTATATGGGAGGAAAAAGTGTATGTTATCTTTTTAATTCTTTCTTTTTTAAAAAAATCAAGGAACAGGAAAAAAAATTCTCTTCTTGAAGGTGTTAAATTTTGTGATGGTAGTTACATTCAGTTTAGGAGGCAAGTGAATTACCAGTAATTACCAGTTTAGCCTAAAGCTGCCTTCTTACCAGTTTTAAGTTCGCGCTAAAGGTTTCTCCATACAGTGAACTATGAGCGAACGAGGTGTAACCAGACTGTAACATCTTCTTGTATCAATCAGAGGGCTTTGCGCAATCACTGGCGGCCAATTGTTCAAACCTTGTCTGACTAAAGCAGATGCTGAGCTGTAACCAATCCGGCTGTTTCTGTACCCCACTTCTGTTTTTCTTGGACCTGATTTTCCTTTTTCTGTCCATAAATGTTATCTGACCATGAGTTGCTCTGAATTTATTTTGGTACTGGGGCTGCCCAATTTGCAAGTCTTTCTTGGCTCAATTATATTCTGTTAAATTCGTCTAAAGATTACCTTTAGACGAATTTAACAGAATAAATAATAATAAATTAACCCATAATAAAAAAGTTTTAACACCTAATAAAAGTTAATTGCATTAAAACCCACTGCCAATGTTCAATTAAGTAGTATTGAATTCCTGCAACTTTAGAAATATAAGATTTATAGAAATCTTTTTATACAAGTTGTTTTACCTGTTTTTTCCAATATAGAAACTGAGTCTGGAGGGGTAGAATTGCCACAGATCACGCAGTTATTAGCAGATCATTTAAGTGCATTCATATCTTCTGCTTTCCATAGTAACATTTATCACTCCCATGTTACTTTATTAACAAATTATTAAATCACTTTTCTTTTTTTTTTTCAACAGGTTAGGTGTTTATGTATTTTAAAAATTACTTCATTTCAGAAGTTTTAATTAATGTTCTCATGTGTAATAAAGACAATCCAGTAGAACTGTCTCTCTGAATTAATAACATATTGTGAAAATCTGTTGGTTTGGCCCAGGAAAATATCATTATTTTACCCTCTGATGGTAGCAATTTCTAAACGCATGCATAATCTTAAAGAAAACTAAATAACCAAGTGAGGGTTGAACTGGCAAACAAAACCTATAACCAGACAGCTGGTTATAGGCTGTCCTTGTTCTTTGGATTATGAAGGTTTAAACTCTTTATGGGCAGAAACGCTATTTTTTTAAAAAAATAATTAGTTTTGAAAAATTTCTTGAATATATCTCTACATATTTTCTGGATATAGTTAGCATACTGGGTAAAATATAATCTCCCTTGTATGAGTGACCTTGCAGTGCACCAGGGTCAACATGAATTCCTGTGGAGACTGTAGCCCAGGCAGAACATGATATATGTATACTGATCCCAAGACAAAACCTGCAAACTTTAAAACATCAGAATATCTGATAACTAATTTGTGTGATTTTTGCTTCTTTCTCTTAAAAAGTGAAGTGTAGCAGGAAAAAGAAATCCAAGTAGAATTTCATTGCTTAATATAGCAACTGGTACATGTTTAATAAATGTTTACTAAATAACTGATGGTGCCACTTAGAGGTGCTATTTTATATGATGAATGTTTTAATGAAAAAGAAAATTCAAACTTAAACCTGAAGGAAATAAATAGATTGAGTCATTGGTGTGTATATTTTTGATGGTACTTTTAAATGACAACTTATGCAATTATGTTATAAATTCTTTTAAAGCAACTATCAAGGCTGTTGATCCTCTATAATCTGCACAGACCTAACTCAGAAGGTACTTGATACATGTTTGCTGGATAAATGGACAGAAGAATGAGTGAGTCTACTTACTGACCACCTAGAGTTTGCTGAATTTAAATGAATGTATCAGAATTTGAATAAAATTGGCAAATAGCTGTGATATTTCACTTTTCTTCATAAATGTTTATAGAACATCAATATTTGCACAGTGATGAAGGAGACAGGCTTATATCTCTCTCCTGGAAGCTACATTCTAACAAAAATGTAGAAATAAATACATTAATAAATAATATACCATGAGAATTGTTATAAAAGAAACAAGCAGAATTCTGTGATTGGGTAAGGTGTGAGTTTGTGGGGAATATTTTTTAAATGAATGGTCAGGGAAGGCCTCTCTGAGAAAGTGACATTTACATTAAGAATCCAGTGACAGGAATAGGAAGGTGCAGTTGTGACGGTCCTAGAGAGTTTGGAGTGCATGAGAAACTAAAATAAGATCTAGTGGCCGAGACATAACAAAGCTTCAAACATAAGGCAGGCAAGGAGAGGCAGATAGCTTCTGAAAGATGTAAGAGATGACACATTTTGATTTTATTCTAACAGCAATCCATTTTAATTAGAAGAGTGACAATGATAATGATTGTAGCTACCACCTTATGGGCCCGAGTTCATTAAATAGAGATTGTAGAATAGGCATCACCTAAATGTTTACCATTAGTCATTTAATCTTCACATCAAATCAGAAGCATGGATAATCGCTCCTTCCATTTACAGAAGCAGAAACGGGATCTTAAGGTATTTCGTTAACTTGGCCAAGATTGCAGCTAGTAAGTGTGATATCATCAGATTTCTGATTTACAAACAGCAAGATACGTTGCCAAAGATGGATTGCTGCTGAGGAGAGAGTCACAGGAAGGGGAATTAAGATGGTCGTTCAGGTGAGAGAGAGTGTTGGTATGAACAGGTGGTGGCAATTAGGGAGTCCTAGAAGGAACAGGCACACATTATTTGCTAACGGATTTGAGATGAGTGATGAGGGAGAAGGGGGTGGATGGTGCTGCCGCTTCCTGATATAGAGAAGATTAGGGGAGAAAGCAGGTTTGAGGAAAATCAAGATTTCAGTTTTGGATAAAGTCTGAGCTGCATGAGGTTATGACTTCTGGCAAAACACATCTGTCAAGAGCAAAATCTTTTTTGTGAAAAAGATTCTAAAACTTCTTTGACATTCTCAGTACTCTCCTTCACACCTGCTCATCAGTTCCCCGCAAAAATTACTTTTAATATTAAATGAGGCCCTTGACATAAATAATTAGTAATTGACAACTCAAGGCAAAACCCAGCCAGGGCCTGTTTTATTGTGTGGCCAGTGTACTAAGAATGATTATGACGTTTTTAAATGGTTGGAAATAAAATCAAAAGAGGTGTAATATTTTCTGACACATCAAAATCATATGAAACTCAGGTCTCAGGCTCCGTAACTAAAGTTTATCAAAACACAATCATTTCTATTTGTTTATATATTGCCTGTGACTGCTTCTGTCCTAAATGGCAGAGCTGAGTAAGCCCGGAGGGCCGA